TTTCATATCTAATTTTGTTGAAACCAGCGCGAAACTTTCCGAAAGATTATCGATTTCTTTTTGACATACGGCCATTCTTTTTACCCGTTCTTCCTGAAAAACAAAACGCCAAGCGTTCGCCGCATTCTCTGAATTCGTACTTAAACTTTGGCGCAAATAGAAAAAAAAACCTACATCATAAATAACTTTTACTGCACAACTCCCAATGGTCAAAGAAGGATGGAAAAAACTCTAAGTGCTTTAGAAATTTTAAAAATACAAACAGTAAATATTCCTGGCAAGAAGCCTAGAGGAGAATGGGGAGCTGAAATCTAACTTATATACTAAAGGATGTCACAAGCAACAAAACGAGCGTTACTTGCCCAGGTATTTTCTCATTAGGACGAACATACGTATTGAGTGAATACGGCTACTGTCATGTCAAATGAGAAGTTTGTCCAATATGTGAAGGGCATGAAAATGTGCCACTATTAATGAATAGCTAATAAAAAAAGCCAAAAAAAAAGTCTGCATGCAGAAGTTGGGGGGTGCAAAAGCAAACAAAACAACTTAGTGTACATTGAAATTATCCACATCCTGCCTGTATTTATTGATCAGACGGCTGAGTTGCTGTACCAGATCATCGTGTTCATCTGAAATCGTTTGAATGCATTTATGCCATCCATCAGCAAGTAAACAATGCATACATAAATATGGCTTTCAAATAGATGCTCAAAAAAAAAACCGTACCATGTAATTCGAAGTTTGCACAAAGTTTTTCCACGCATTGCTTTCGTTCGATAAAAATTTTCTCACGCAACTGCAACAAAAATTTTTAAAGAAAAATGCCAAATGACAGCAAAAAAGCTCCTCATTTGATAATTTCAACAACTGTACTGGGTTTACTTAAGACCAGTATTGAACACAAAAATTCCTGACCAACTGGACGGTCCGGCACTCCACAATTGCTCTGTTGATCCTCTCTTGCACCGCTAAAAGCTCCTTCATTTCAGCTTTCAATCTTTCAATCCTGGCTTCAGTACACGTTCGGTCGCGCTCCACATCCACAAATTCTTTTGAATTTGCAAGCTGAAATGTAACAGCAGCGGAAGATCAAAGAAATAAAGATCAGTCAAACGATGTGCAATAAAAGGGGTAGGGAGGCGGGGCGGGGGAGGGGGTGTGAGGAAGGGGCTTTCACATATCCCATTTCCACAGTACCTGCAAATGTGCAAGGGAACAAAAGCAGAATTAAGACTACCTAGCGCTGTACGTCAGCAGAAACGAGCCACAAAAACTCTGTTGCAAAAGGAAATCAGAAGTGCGCAGCAAGCAAGTGAGAGGGTGGAGGTAGTTTGGAGGGAAAAAGCTATCGCGACCCTAAAATGCTAATAAACTAGACTAGTGGCGTGCCCCCCCCCCTCTGTGTGTGTGGAAATACGAGAAGGAGGAGGAATAAAAAGTGCGAGTGGTTTTCGTGCACGGAAATATTAATTTTTTTAAGGCTCCTAAAAAATCGATACGCACCTGATCAATTTCACGTTTCAGTTCTTCAATACCACCAGCATAAACCGGCAATGAGCAGCACTTGATCTGATCAAGAAATATTTGCCGCTCCGCTTCAATCATATCTAAAGCAAAGCAACATACGGTGGGCCAGTACTACTTCATCATCTGCAAGTTGCTCAGCTAAACCTGAACAGGTTTAAACATGGCGCCCAAAAAATGTAGATTTTGATGTTGAAGATGATTTACTTCAAATTGTTATGTGAAATGGAAGGGATGAAATAAGAAGAATCAAAAAGGAACGTAGGGGACGAGAATTATAAAATTTGTAAATTAATGGAATTATTTTAAAGACAAAAAATGTTTCGGTCCATTAAATCGTATACATTTCTTACCATTACCATAACTGGTCTTCGCCAGTACGACGACTGTGGAATTTAGAATTAGCAGATATTAAGATTAAATTAATTGTGCAGTGAATGTTAACAGTAAGTACAGTGGGATAGTAGTAATAATAAACTTACCGTGTTTTTTTTGCAACGTTTCGGCCTGTTCCAGCTCTGCAACTTTCTTTTCTTTTTCTACAGTCAACTCTTTGAGCACATTTTGGCTTCGCGTAACTTCTTCTTCAGTCTTCAGTACTTCATCTTTCAAACCACTGTATTCGCTGTGTAGCTAAAATAAAAAATAAGCAAATACAGGACATGTAGTTGTACGCTCTGCAGCAAAAATGACATAGTTCTTATCTGCCACAACAATAAAGAACCGATTACACTACGCCGGGAGCAAAAATTACGAAAAGCGCTTTCGGGACAAAAAAGAAGGAGCATAGGTTGTGAAGATAAAAAGTTATTGTGCCTTAAATAAATGAGTTGAAATGCATATGAACACTAATTCAGGCAACTGAATGCGGTTATGAAAGGTGGGCAACGAGCTGAACAGCATTGGAGGGTGGGGGGGAACCGTTCACACTGCGTGTAGTGCTTTTGAAACGAAACAGCTGCTGCAGAAACTCTACGCATTAAAAAAAAAGTCTGGAAACAATAGTACTGGGTCGAAAACTGAAGCGCTGTACGGCACAAGCATGCCCCCAAACAAATTGCGGGAAAACCGAATCGACTTGGGAAAACCGAATCGGCATGCCCATTCAGAGCTTGACTAAGCAAAAATCGAATACAGCGAGTAAATTCAAAAAAAAATGCGAGGTACAATAAAATTAGAGCAATTCTGCAAACAGAAGAAAAGTCAGTGCATCTTAAACCAATAAAGGAAAAAGAAAACGAACCTTGCCTTTTTCCTCAAACTGTCTGACCAGAAATGGTAGTTTGTTGTCAATAATTTTCAATTCCTGCTGCTGGAAAAAAATTTTTTTCACATTTCGACAAATAATCATTCATATGCGCAACAGAGAACAAAAACTCATTGTCATAACTTATTTCAAAGGTCTATATAAATTCGTTCATCCCAGAATATTTAACAGAAATATTGCCGATAGCTTTCCCTTCTCGAAATAGTTCAAAAATACACAGGAACTTATTTTTATGGGCAAAATCAGTGGGGGAAATCCACTTTCTTAAAGCTTGCTTGCCTCTTCTTCGAAATATTCATCGGGAATAATTTCGATTTTGGCATAAATTACGCGTCAAGCACACAATTTTTGTGCACATGTAACCACAGGCATACTGGACGCGAGCTGCAGATGTCTTAGCGGTCATTTTCCAAGCTATTTTAATTATAGCCAACAAACAAAAAATAATAATTTGAAAATTTTTTGATCAAAAAAAAAAAATAAACAGAACATTTTCTTTCAGCTCTTTCTTCAGGACATCGATTGCCTTCACATATCCCGTCACTTGGAAAATTTCGTCAAAGCGTTCCTTTAATTTTTTTGGCTCATCAAGTGGCCTGCAAAATAAACTTTTTAAATTTCTCAAACAAGAAGAGATTACTTAAAAACATAAC